CTTCTTCTTCTTCTTCTTCTTCTTCTTCTTCTTCTTCTTCCTCCTCTCTCTCTCTCTCTCTCTCTCTCTCTCTCTCTCTCTCTCTCTCTCTCTCTGAACCAGGGATTGAACTCAGGCCCTTGTGCTTGCCAGGGAAACGCTTATTCCACTAAGCCATCTCCCCGGCCCAAAACTCCCACAGATATTCCAGAAAGAAAAACAGACACATTCTCAGGTATTACCTCTCCCAAAACGGCCAACCCAAAGACAAAGCCCACTTTCGGATGTAGGGGAGTGAAATCTAGCTGTTCAAAATGAGTTTTTGTGTATTTGTTTTTCACAGAAGTTATAACAGGATCTGAAAATATGAATTAAAATATAAACCAGGATCAGATAATTCCAGGCTATACTAGTCCACGCCGTGAGCATAAGAGGTACAGAAGACAGAAACTTCCTCCCTTGACTTCCACATAGCAAACGAATCATGGATACAGCCAGGGTTGCTTCAAAGTTTTGAGTCCTGTAAGCCACTCTTTCCTGGACACAAGCCTTCCTTTAAAGAGAACACCAAGTCCAACACAGCTACTGCAAGCAAACAGTGCATTACCTCGGTTTCCCTGGCCAGCATCTTTTAGGGCACAAACTTCGCACACAAAAAACCCTGAAACTTTTAGAAAAATACTCTTTGGTGTGGAAAAAAACTGATTCAATCTAGAACCACCTGTTCCTCTGAGAGGACAGTGTTTGTATTTCCTCAGAGAGGTACAGGGTGTCACAAAGCCGGGCTTCTCTTCAATGAAGTGTTTGCAGCCACATCTAGTGTTCTGTTTTTATGGACTTGATGGCAAGCAAAAGCTTTCATTAGAGTAATTAAAACACCATTCTCCTCAGAAGAGAGGAATGATGCGTGCTGGGCTTCTAGGAACTGGCCCCGGCCCAAACAGCACTTACCTAGATGTGCATTTGTTGGCTGGGGAAAAAATTAGACAGGGCACAGTGCAGACCGTTGAATTGCATGATAGAGTCTTGAGATGAGAGGCATTTGTATTCTTATTAGGAGGTCTGATTACATGGTTCTCAAATTTCCTCTTAAGCCTCCTGAGATGTGTGTGAGGTGCAACCTTGTAAACTGTCAGCACAGGGAAAGCTAAGATTTAGAGAGTGGTTTCCACTGTGCATCCTATAAAATGTGTCCCACGAGGAAGATTAGTATCAATCACAGGCTTATTGGAGAGGGAGATGGGATCCAATGATAACCTGGCACTATCAACTAGAGTAATGGTCTAAGAAGAAAAAGCAATCAGAGAGGAGAAAGGAATATCCACAAAGAAAGACAGAAGTGGAA